ACACTTTTTTTTTGGTGTGCTATTACCATTCACAGTTGAGCTCACTCAGTTTAGCTCATTGTAGATTGGCAATTATTTTATACTTTTTTTTATCAAGGGAGGCCAAGTGCTCGCTGGCTCCCTTGCATACAACGCTACGGGCGGCAACAATGTCAACAACTCTTTTGGACCAGACAGCATCAGATAGATGGCCTACACACAAAGAGACAGAGGGGGCGCTGTTTGGCTCGCTCGGATGCTTTCTACAGTGAAACACAGTGATTCAGCCTCTCGGATGCTTTCTACAGTGAAACACAGTGATTCAGCCTCTCGGATGCTTTCTACAGTGAAACACAGTGATTCAGCCTCTCGGATGCTTTCTACAGTGAAACACAGTGATTCAGCCGCTCGGATGCTTTCTACAGTGAAACACAGTGATTCAGCCTCTCGGATGCTTTCTACAGTGAAACACAGTGATTCAGCCGCTCGGATGCTTTCTACAGTGAAACACAGTGATTCAGCCTCTCGGATGCTTTCTACAGTGAAACACAGTGATTCAGCCTCTCGGATGCTTTCTACAGTGAAACACAGTGATTCAGCCTCTCGGATGCTTTCTACAGTGAAACACTGTGATTCAGCCTCTCGGATGCTTTCTACAGTGAAACACAGTGATTCAGCCTCTCGGATGCTTTCTACAGTGAAACACAGTGATTCAGCCGCTCGGATGCTTTCTACAGTGAAACACAGTGATTCAGCCTCTCGGATGCTTTCTACAGTGAAACACTGTGATTCAGCCTCTCGGATGCTTTCTACAGTGAAACACAGTGATTCAGCCTCTCGGATGCTTTCTACAGTGAAACACAGTGATTCAGCCTCTCGGATGCTTTCTACAGTGAAACACTGTGATTCAGCCTCTCGGATGCTTTCTACAGTGAAACACAGTGATTCAGCCGCTCGGATGCTTTCTACAGTGAAACACAGTGATTCAGCCTCTCGGATGCTTTCTACAGTGAAACACTGTGATTCAGCCTCTCGATGCTTTCTACAGTGAAACACAGTGATTCAGCCTCTCGGATGCTTTCTACAGTGAAACACAGTGATTCAGCCTCTCGGATGCTTTCTACAGTGAAACACTGATGATTCAGCCTCTCGGATGCTTTCTACAGTGAAACACAGTGATTCAGCCTCTTCGGATGCTTTCTACAGTGAAACACAGTGATTCAGCCTCTCGGATGCTTTCTACAGTGAAACACAGTGATTCAGCCTCTCGGATGCTTTCTACAGTGAAACACAGTGATTCAGCCTCTCGGATGCTTTCTACAGTGAAACACAGTGATTCAGCCTCTCGGATGCTTTCTACAGTGAAACACTGTGATTCAGCCTCTCGGATGCTTTCTACAGTGAAACACAGTGATTCAGCCTCTCGGATGCTTTCTACAGTGAAACACAGTGATTCAGCCGCTCGGATGCTTTCTACAGTGAAACACAGTGATTCAGCCTCTCGGATGCTTTCTACAGTGAAACACAGTGATTCAGCCGCTCGGATGCTTTCTACAGTGAAAACAACAGTGATTCAGCCTCTCGGATGCTTTCTACAGTGAAACACAGTGATTCAGCCTCTCGGATGCTTTCTACAGTGAAACACAGTGATTCAGCCGCTCGGATGCTTTCTACAGTGAAACACAGTGATTCAGCCGCTCGGATGCTTTCTACAGTGAAACACTGTGATTCAGCCTCTCGGATGCTTTCTACAGTGAAACACAGTGATTCAGCCTCTCGGATGCTTTCTACAGTGAAACACAGTGATTCAGCCTCTCGGATGCTTTCTACAGTGAAACACAGTGATTCAGCCTCTCGGATGCTTTCTACAGTGAAACACAGTGATTCAGCCTCTCGGATGCTTTCTACAGTGAAACACAGTGATTCAGCCTCTTGCGAATTGAAGGAACGGTATGAAACACAGAGAGACGAAATATACATTATTTTTTTATTTTTTTCTTTGTTGTCAATTTTTGGGGGGAAGACTGGCTTCCCTTGGCATCCATGAATACAAGCCACTGTGAGATGACGACTTGGAATTAAATAAAGTCATCAAATAAAACAAATGTATAATACACAACAACTGAAATATTTTATTAAAGTAAAGTCATGTGAATAAAGGATGGTTAATAAGTGATAAGCAGTAATGGGCAGTCACTACCATCATGGGGCTTTTATTAATTGTTTTATTCTGTGTTACAGCATTCAACCCAAATAATCAAAACCGAAATCGAAAACCATGATAATGTTTTAATAATCGAACTGAACCAACCTCAAAAAGCACTAATCGCTCAGCACTAATGGAAATGTCTATAATATATTGTTAATATATGACTCACGGCAAACCTTTTCACACCATACAAGTTGTCTCACTCAAGTAAAATGACATACAACATTCATGTATTGAACTCTGCCGTTTTTATTTTTTTATTATTAACAAATCAGTACAAAAAGTACATGGGGGAACACAAGTATATAATTTTAAAAGAATATACAAAGGACAATTGGGCTAGGGGGCATAATATCACATTACACAAGGATCTTTAGGGGACATAAGCACACATAATTCTACCAGCTTTTTTGCTGGTAGAGTATTTAAATGTCTTAAAATATAGTTATATTAATTTTTGTAAGGTAAGAAAATGTAAATGTACATTTGTGAATATGAAATTTGGCCAAAATAATAATGAAGTGAATTACATACAATTGTTTCAACTTATTTCTATCATTGGTAAAGAATCCAAGCAGTACATTTTTTTTACTTCTTCATATAGTGGTTGGCAGGATAATATTTATGAATAATTTAAAAAGAAACTTCCTTAATTTTGTTATTAAGTAGTTATGTGTGTGGCAACATCCAAACTTTTTTCCAAAAGATTTTATCAATAAAAACATTCCAATAAGGCTTTATAATAAGGTTTATAGTTACAACATCCTGTTGAAACAAGGCTCGTATAGCTCTATTGTTGTTGAATGGACACAAAGAAAAACGAATCTTTCCTACTGATGAGTCAACAGGGTTAATCGTAGGTACAGTTGAAATCGGAAGTTTACATACATTTAGGTTGGCGTCATTAAAACTCGTTTTTCAACCACTCCACACATTTCTTGTTAACAAACTGTAGTTTTGGCAAGTCGGTTAGGACATCTACTTTGTGCATGACACACGTAATTTTCCCAACAATTGTTTACAGACAGATTATTTCACTTATAATTCCAGTGGGTCAGAAGTTTACATACACTAAATTGACTGTGCCTTTAAACAGCTTTGAAAATTCCAGAAATTATGTCATGGCTTTAGAAGCTTCTGATAGGCTAATTGACATCATTTTAGTCAATTGGAGGTGTACCTGTGGATGTATTTCAAGGCCTACCTTCAAACTCAGTGCCTCTTTGCTTGACATCATGGGAAAATCAAAAGAAATCAGCCAAGACCTCAGAAAACATTTTGTAGACCTCCACAAGTCTGGTTCAACCTTGGGAGCAATTTCCAAACGCCTGAAGGTACCACGTTCATCTGTACAAACAATAGTACACAAGTATAAACACCATGGGACCACGCAGCCGTCATACCACTCAGGAAGGAGACGCGTTCTGTCTCCTAGAGATGAACGTACTTTGGTGCGAAAAGTGCAAATCAATCCCAGAACAACAGCAAAGGACCTTGTGAAGATGCTGGAGGAAACAGGTACTAAAGTATCTATATCCACAGTAAAACAAGTCCTATATCGACATAACCTGAAAGGCCGCTCAGCAAGGAAGAAGCCACTACTCCAAAACCGCCATAAAAAAGCCAGACTACGGTTTGCAACTGCACATGGGGACAAAGATCTTACTTTTTTGAGAAATGTCCTCTGGTCTGATGAAACAAAAATTGAACTGTTTGGCCATAATGACCATCGTTATGTTTGGAGGAAAAAGGGGGATGCTTGCAAGCCAAAGAACACCATCCTAACCGTGAAGCACGGGGGTGGCAGCATCATGCTGTGGGGGTACTTTGCTACAGGAGGGACTGGTGCACTTCACAAAATAGATGGCATCATGAGGAAGGACAATTATGTGGATATATTGAAGCAACATCTCAAGACATCAGTCAGGAAGTTAAAACTTGGTCGCAAATGGGACTTCCAAATGGACAATGACCCCAAGCATACTTCCAAAGTTGTGGCAAAATGGCTTAAGGACAACAAAGTCAAGGTACTGGAGTGGCCATCACAAAGCCCTGACCTCAATCCTATAGAAAATGTGTGGGCAGAACTGAAAAAGAGTGTGCGAGCAAGGAGGCCTACAAACCTGACTCAGTTACACCAGCTCTGTCAGGAGAAATGGGCCAAAATTCACCCAACTTATTGTGGGAAGCTTGTGGAAGGCTACCCGAAACATTTGACCCAAGTTAAACAATTTAAAGGCAATGCTACCAAATACTAATTGAGTGTATGTAAACTTCTGATCCACTGGGAATGTGATGAAATAAATAAAAGCTGAAATAAATAATTCTCTGTACTATTATTCTGACATTTCACATTCTTAAAATAAAGTGGTGATCCTAACTGACCTAAAACAGGGAATTTTTACTAGGATCAAATGTCAGGAATTGTGAAAAACTGAGTTTAAATGTATTTGGCTAAGGTGTATGTAAACTTCCGACTTCAACTGTATGTTCTGAAGGTCATCTTGTAAAGTGGTAAGAATTCCTTATAATTAATTAAAAGACCCTCTGCATTTACAAGTTGGCTCACCAATAGGATATTATTTCGTTGCTAATATTCTAAAAACAAATAAGTATTTTTATACAATATGTCCCGATTATTCCATATATAATATATGTGTGGGGAAAAAAGTATGCTTATAAATTAAGGACCATGACAAGAAAACCTGCCGATGAAAAGCAACTCTGCCAGCTTTCGTCCCAATGACTGTCTAAGAAGTTTCGTCGTTTCCCAACTTCCCATAATGCTTCACTGTGATCGCCAGCTGAGAGCTGACAAGCGCTGACTTGAAATGCTGCGCAGTTTACGCGCGTCCAGGAAAGTACAGGGATTTTTTTTTTTTTATCCCGTTTACTGACACAAATGAGGAGTTTTTCAAACATCTAATTCGGAGTTTTAGGGTACAAGAGGTAGATTGGCTCTTGACCAAGATGCTGGGTGGGACTCACTGTTGAATTGGACGTTTGTAAAGCCCCCCACTCCTTCCTGTTTGGGTAAGTTTCAGTCTCCGGCAGGGCAGTATGCTCACTCTTTTGTTTCATACGAAGGGCCTAGCAAATTAGCTTAGCAAGCTAGCTAGGAAACCATGAATAAATCAAAGTCGGTAGCTAGCTAGCTTCATCCAATAAATGCATCACTCCAACCCTCCGTGGTTTGCGGGAAATCGATCCCCAACACCTGAATGGCAAAAACCAGCAAATATTAAATGATTGCATTATTATAATCACCAGCCATCCACCATTATTTCCCAATAAAAGGACGTTACCATATCAGCTACAGATTAAACTGGTCAGTTTAGAAGAGTATTGGATAAGGTGCAACTTTTAGAAGGGAATGGAATGCGACATTGTTTTGTGGTAAGCGGCTAACTACCTAGCCAGTTTAGTTTAGTGAACATCGTGAACTGGTTACATGAACTAACCAAACCATAACACGTATCCTGTATACACAACTAGGTTAATCTGATAACTAGCGAGGTACTGTAGTTCTTCTTGTTGTGGCACGAATCATCCTTCACATTTGACTGGTCGTAGCTGGACTTGAGGGAGTACACCTACGACCGGAAGTGACTTTTGGTAACAGGTGAGGAGAGCGTTTTAGTTCAATCCTAACCCTTTTCCCCAACCTTAATTTAAAATCTCCTAACCTGCCATGTTAATTCTCCTAACCTGTTACGGAAAAAGTCACTTCTGGTCGTAGCTCTACTCCCTAGTCATAACCCATTTGACTGACGACAAAACATTTAACTAGCTAGTAGCAGCTAGCATGGGACTGTCAGCTGTCATTCCAGGTTACGGAAAGTTAGCTAAACAGAAATGTAGCTAGCTAAATGTATTTGTTTGTGAAAAAAAGGTTCGGAGCCAGTTTGCTAACTTTTGTCACTATGTCTTTTCTTAACCCATCTAAATTATTTTGATGCATTTTCAGTTTACACTTGTATTATTTTGGCCACTTTTCCGAAGTCAGGTTGTACTGTAGCTGCTAGTGCCAACGCATAACCAGCCACTTAATGAATCTGCAACATTCTAGCTGATATCACGTCAACTGCATTACTTTGAACGGTACTAACGGAAAACTGCGTGAACGCTTACAGCCAACGAAAACAACTTTAGTTCACGTTTAGCTTTTAGCTCTGACTTGTGTGCAGTGCTTGTTGCACTCTGAAAGTAGATTTTCACCGAAGATATTTAGCTAGCTAAATCTATTTGTTGTTGTCTGTACTCTGCAGCTAGCTAGCTAGATAAAGTTGCAATCCACCAATGTGCTTGGTGTTGATGATAGAACCCAATCTTGGCCTATATCCAGTCATGTTCCCACTGAGGTCAGCTCGATCATTTCAATGTCATGTATTTATCCAACCTTCCTGTATTTCTGCTCAATTTCAGTTGCTATGGAGAAACCGCTGGGGGACTCGGATGATTTACAGCCACAGGACCTCTCCTCCACCCGTAGCCTTCCCGCTGTGATGGACCTGACCAGAAAAGGTGAGGAATGCCTCCTGAAAGCCAACTCCATGGAGGCCCTACGGGTGGTCAAGCCTCCCAGCTGGTACCCAAACTCTGGGAGCAGCAAGGGACTCTCCTTCCCCGAGACTGACCATATGCTTCAACCAGTAGACCAGATCCAGCCGGACAATGCCTTCTCCAACACTACAGTCACCCTCTCGTATGTGAGCCGGTCTCATGTCTTCTCCACCCATGACACTCTCTCCCAGCATTCCCCTCTCTACGGCGTCCCGTCGATCAGCAGGTTCTCAACAATGGATGGCTACTTGCAGCAGGTGGATAGGCCTCTGGCCTTAGCGCCTCGGTCTGAAATGTTTGACTCTATCCCTCCAGCCCAGGTGGTGGGTGAGAATGTCCCAAGAGTTTGTCTGATACAGCAGTCTCATGAAATCAATGGCGATCGAGTTGCAAGTAACGGAGGAGTGGAGAAATACAAGCCTCAACAGAGAGGGAGTTCAATGGAACGCACTCTTTCTCAGGACACAGACAACGAAGGATTGCAGAACGACCAGGGTAGTAGCAGCTGGTCCAACTCTGCCATCTGTGTCGATTCCTCCCCAGAGTCTCTCACTACAGACATGGAGGAGGGACAGAGGAGGGCTTCAGAACTTATTTTTCTCATCTCTAGAACAGAGGAGCCAGTCCTGATGCAGGACAGCAGGAGTCCCAGGGACCTGTGTTCTCCAAATAGGGAGTATATTAGCCCTCTGGAGGACCCGGTCTCTCCCTCTGTCTCACTGCATGACGTAGAGGACGGTTTCATTCTGCCTCAGGCCTCCTGCTCACCCTGCGATGAGAATTCTTTAGCAGACGAGACGTCTGATACCCGCTGGGATGAGCTGGAGAGAGGAGGGCCTGGGCTGTCTGCAGTACAGGGGACAAGGTCTAATGGGGATAATACACCAATGTTAGATTACAGCGAGGACTACCAGAAACCCAAGGCAGCTCCGGAGCCTATTGTTGACTTGACAGAAGACGAGAGCGCTGTGCCAGAGGTTTTAGAAAAGAAGCCCAGGCAGACGGCTGCTACTCACCTGAATGGTAATGTGAAGGCAGAGCAGAGGACTTCAGGGAGGAAACAACTCGCCCCTCGCTCTGGCAGGGGAACCAGGTTAGAGGCCATAGTGATGAACATAAACCCTAACTGGTATAAAGGATCCACTAAGAAGCACAAGGCCTCAAAGGCCCATCCTCAGACAAATCCCCTGACCCAGAGCAGTCCATCTAAAGCCGGTGTTAGTCCTAACAAACAGACCTTGTCTGTAGTGAAGAAGGGCGGCCAGAATAAAGCAGCATCTAGCGCAGAGGGAGAGGCTAAAGTAAAGGCAGCGGTAGCCTCACCGACAGGTCGTATGGATAGCATTTACATGAACACAGACAGCTGCAGAGAGTCTACCTCAGATTCTGAACACACCCGTTTTCCAAAATACCCAAACAACCACAGCACATTTCCCATAACCTCCAGCCTGCCCTTTGCTCCAGACAATGATTCAGAGAAGGAGTTGGAACACAGAGAGTCAGGTCCAGAGCCCTCCTCTGAGGTGGCTGTACTGACTGTATCACCGTCACTTAAAGCATCTCCAAAGAAACCCGGGAAGCATAAAGCTAAGACCGCAAGCAGTGAACCAGCTTCTGCCACAGCCAAATCAAGGAAGGCCCCTGCTCCCAAGAAGAAACGGAAGAAACCCAGACTGGATCAGTCTTCTATGTTCTCCCCTCAGGAGCCTGAGATCAAACTAAAATACATCAACTACAAGGAGGAGAAGAGGGACGTGAGGGTGGAAACCTTCTCTCCGTTCATCCACGTGGAGCGTAAGCCTTCCTCCACCTCCCCCGCCAACTGTGCTGTCATCAACTACCCAGAGGAGGAGAAGCCCAGGCAGAAGGGCCAGGGGCAACAGCAGGCTGGAGGCTCAGGATCCGGAGGTTTCATCCCAGGGGCTGTACCCTCCACCTCCTGCCTCCACCTGGGCCGCATCTCCACCCACAGCCAGTACCACAGCTCCCTGGTCTGCTGCCTTTGTGGAGGCTCGGCTAACGCCATGGACCTGGGGGACCTCCACGGGCCCTACTACCCTGAGGGATACAGACCCAGCACTAAAGCCCCAGCTAGCAAAGCAGGCCTCGAAGAGGAGGAGGATTTCAGTGACTCTGACTCCTCCTGCAGCGTGAGAGGCCAGGGCAGAAAGTGTGCTCGGCCCCCGGGGGTCCCCTGGCCCCACAAACCTGGCCCCCGGCTGAACCAGGAGGGCCGGCTGGGGAGGTGGACCAGTGACAGTGACCCCTCAGGCAGCCCTCGAGCTAAGAGGGCCAGGACTGAGGCTGGGCCTGGGGTTACATCTGAGGCCGGGGCTGCAGTGGATGACTGGTACATCCCCCCTGTGGTGCCTCTGGACCAGTTTGAGTACTGGCTCCATGAGGACTGCAGCATCTGGTCTGCAGGTGTGTTCCTGGTGAAGGGGAGGGTCTACGGCCTTGAAGAGGCGGTCAAGGTGGCTCAGGAGACGGTAAGTGTAAATCCTGCAGGATAGAAACGGATGGATCTCTGTGTTTGTTGGTCTTTATTGATTTACGATTGGGGTGAACATATAGCGATCTCCCATGGGGGACTATGTCTGCTGTTGTAACCTGTTTACTATTTAACATTTAGGTAGTATGTAACAGTGTTAGAACTCTGTTTAGCAATGCAAAATACTAATAAAAAAATAAAAAATAAAAAAATAATAAATAGCAGCTGTTCTTTGGTCTTGGCCCGTAACACAAGCCAAAACCAATTCATTGTATTTCCTGTTTTCAGACGTGTTCTCGCTGCCATAACCCAGGTGCCACTTTGGGCTGCTTCTTCAAGGGATGCCCCAACAAGTATCACTACAGGTGTTCTCTACAGTCAGGTGAGTCTCCTCCTCTGTCCTTATCCGCTGCTGGGACCATCAGGTGAGTCTCCTCCTCTGTCCTTATCCCCTGCTGGGACCATGAGGTGAGTCTCCTCATCTGTCCTTATCCCCTGCTGGCACCATCAGGTGAGTCTCCTCCTCTGTCCTTATCCCCTGCTGGGACCATCAGGTGAGTCTCCTCCTCTGTCCTTATCCCCTGCTGGGACCATCAGGTGAGTCTCCTCCTCTGTCCTTATCCCCTGCTGGGACCATCAGGTGAGTCTCCTCCTCTGTCCTTATCCGCTGCTGGGACCATCAGGTGAGTCTCTTCCTCTGTCCTTATCCGCTGCTGGGACCATCAGGTGAGTCTCTTCCTCTGTCCTTATCCGCTGCTGGGACCATCAGGTGAGTCTCTTCCTCTGTCCTTATCCGCTGCTGGGACCATCAGGTGAGTCTCCTCCTCTGTCCTTATCCCCTGCTGGGACCATCAGGTGAGTCTCCTCCTCTGTCCTTATCCCCTGCTGGGACCATCAGGTGAGTGTCCTCCTCTGTCCTTATCCCCTGCTGGGACCATCAGGTGAGTCTCCTCCTCTGTCCTTATCCCCTGCTGGGACCATCAGGTGAGTGTCCTCCTCTGTCCTTATCCCCTGCTGGGACCATCAGGTGAGTCTCCTCCTCTGTCCTTATCCCCTGCTGGGACCATCAGGTGAGTCTCTTCCTCTGTCCTTATCCCCTGCTGGGACCATCAGGTGAGTCTCTTCCTCTGTCCTTATCCGCTGCTGGGACCATCAGGTGAGTCTCCTCCTCTGTCCTTATCCGCTGCTGGGACAATCAGGTGAGTCTCCTCCTCGGTCTCAGCAGGGGATGGGGACAATCAGGTGAGTCTCCTTGTCTCACAAATTTGACTTGAGACTCGACTTGATAGAAAATAAAATAATTTGAGACTTGACTTGGAGCCTCAAGACTCTGGACTTATTTTGTGGCACAGAGCCTCTGTGGATTACTCTCCACGCAGCAAGAGGCAGTAGCCGCAGCGTCGCCTTTGCAATAAAAAGTGCAACAGATTGGCTAGTGAAACGCACACTCTGAACTCTGATTGGACCAGCAAACTGTCAATCAACAAAGGTCGGGTGAGCCAGAGAACAGATTGCTGATTTGCTGTAGGATTGGGTGCAGAGCAAATGCCATAATAAATATTATCTTCTCTCCTCTTCCCCTCTCCTCTTCTTCTCTTCTCTCCTCTTCCCCTCTCCTCTTCTTCTCTTCTCTCCTCTACCCCTTCTCTCCTCTTCCCCTCTCCTCTTCCTCTTCTCTCCTCTCCCCCTCATCTTCTCTCCTCTTCCCCTCCTCTTCTCTCCTCTTCCCCTCTCCTCCTCTTCCTCTCCTCTCCTCTTCTTCCTTCTCTCTCCCTCCCCCCTTCTCCCTCCTTTTCCTTCTCCCTCCTCCCTCCTCTTCCCCTCTCCCTCTCCTCTTCCCCTCTCCCTTCCCCTCTCCCTCCCCCTCTCTCCTCTCCCTTCCCCTCTCCCCTTCCCCTCCCTCTCCCCCCCTTCCCCTTTCCCCCTTTCCCCCTTCCCCTTTCCCCCTCCCCCTTCCCCTTCCCCTCTCTCCCCTTCCCCTCTCCTCTTCCCCTTCCCCCTCTCCTCTCCCCTTCCCCTCTTCCCCTTCCCCTTTCCCCTTCCCCGCCCCTCTCCCCCTTCCCCTCTCCCTCTCCTCTTTCCCCTCTCCTCTTCCCCTTCCCCTCCTCTTCCCCTTCCCCTCTCCTTTTCCCTTTTCCCCTTCCCCTCTTCCCCTTCCCCTCTTCCCCTTCCCCTCTTCCCCTTCCCCTCTCCCCTTCCCCTCTTCCCCTTCCCCTCTTCCCCTCTCCCCTTCCCCTCCCCCCCCTCCCCTTCCCCCTCCCCTCTCCTCTTCCCCTCTTCCTCTTCCCCTCTCCCCTTCCCCTCTCCCCTTCCCCTCTCCCCTTCCCCTTTCCCCTCTCCCTTCCCCTCTCCCTTCCCCCTCTCCCCCCTCCCCCTTCCCCTCTCCCCCCTTTCCCCCTTTCCCCTCTCCTCTTCCCCTCTCCTCCCTCTTCCCCTCCCTTCCCCTCCCTCTCCCTTTCCCCTCCCCTTCCCTCTTCCCTTCTCCTCTCCCCCTCCCTCTTCTCCCCCTCCCCTCCCTTTTCCTCCCGCCCTCCCCCCTTCCCCTCTCCTCTTCCCCTCTTTCCCTTCCCCTCTCCTCCCCTTCCCCTCCCCCTTCCCCTCTCCCCTTCCCCTTTTCCCCTTCCCCTCTCCCCCTTTCCCCTTCCCCTTTCCCCTCTCCCCTTCCCCTCTCCCCTGCCCCCTCTCCCCTCTCCCTTCCCCTTCCCCCCTCTCCTTCCCTCCCCTCTCCCCTCTCCTCTTCCCCTCTCCCCTTCCTCCTCTTCCCTTCCCCCTCCCCTTCCCCCCTTCCCCTTCCCTTCCCCTTCCCCGCTTCCCCTCTCCCCTCTCCCTTCCCCTTCCCCTCTCCCCTTCCCCTTCCCCTTCCCCCTCCCCTCTCCTCTCCCCTCTCCTCCCCTCTCCCCTTCCCCGCTCCCCTCCCCTCTCCCCTTCCCTCTTCCCCTCCCCTCTGCCCCCTTCCCCTTCCCCTTCCCCTCCCCCTTACCTCTTCCCCTTCCCCTTCCCCGTCCCCCTCCCCTCCCTCTTCCCCTTCCCCCTCTCCTCCCCTCCCTCTCCCTTCCCCTTCCCCGCTCTCCTCCCCCTTCCCCTCTCCTCTTCCCCCTTCCCTCTCCCCTCCCCGTCCCCCCCCCCCCTCCCCTCTCCCCTCCCCCTTCCCCTCCCTCTCCTCTTCCCCTCCCCCTCTCGCCCTCTCCCCCTTCCCCTTCCCCTCCCCCTCACCCCTCCCCTCCCCTCCCGTCCCCCTTCCCCTCTCCCTCCCCTTCCCCTCCCCTCTCCTCTCCTCCCTTCCCTCTCCTCTTCCCCTTCCCCCCTGCCCCCTCCCCCCCCCCTCTCCCCTTCCTTCCCCCTTCCCCCTCCTCTTCCCTTCTCCTCTCCTCTCCTCTTCTCCTCTCTCTCCTCTCTCCTCTTCTTTCCTTTCCTGTCCTCTTCCCCCTCTCCTCTTCCCCCCTCATCTTCTCTCCTCTTCCCCTCTGCTCCTCTCCCCCTCTGCTCCTCTCTTCTTCCTCTCTGCTCCTCTTCCTCTCTGCTGTCAAAACAACATCACAATGACATGACGCTGAGGGCAAAGCAATGCACCACTTCTAGTGGAGCTGAAGTGTTAAGGAGAGGGCCTGTGACTGCAGTCTGTCGCGTGCCAAGACTTTCAGATGGGACCTGGTTGCAATCAATCTAGAAGTTTGAGCCACCTCAGTGACTGATGAATGTTGTTCGTAGTCAGTTCTGAGACGTGATTTATCATAATGTTGCTTTACATCTTATTAGAACAGACAGTCTGTCTGGTTAGGTGGGTTTAGTGTTATGAAACCAATAACTAGCCTACTCATTTTGCTGCACTCATTATGTCTAGGGGTCTTAGTCCTAGTTACATGGTCTGTAACCTGACTCATTATGTCTAGGGGTCTTAGTCCTAGTTACATGGTCTGTAACCTGACTCATTATGTCTAGGGGTCTTAGTCCTAGTTACATGGTCTGTAACCTGACTCATTATGTCTAGGGGTCTTAGTCCTAGTTACATGGTCTGTAACCGACTCATTATGTCTAGGGTCTTAGTCCTAGTTACATGGTCTGTACCTGACTCATTATGTCTAGGGGTCTTAGTCCTAGTTACATGGTCTGTAACCTGACTCATTATGTCTAGGGGCCTTAGTCCTGGTTACATGGTCTGTAACCTGACTCATTATGTCTAGGGGGTCTTAGTCCTGGTTACATGGTCTGGAACCTGACTCATTACGTCTAGGGGTCTTAGTCCTAGTTACATGGTCTGTAACCTGACTCATTATGTCTAGGGGGTCTTAGTCCTGGTTACATGGTCTGGAACCTGACTCATTACGTCTAGGGGTCTTAGTCCTAGTTACATGGTCTGTAACCTGACTCATTATGTCTAGGGGTCTTAGTCCTAGTTACATGGTCTGTAACCTGACTCATTATGTCTAGGGGTCTTAGTCCTGGTTACATGGTCTGTAACCTGACTCATTATGTCTAGGGGGTCTTAGTCCTGGTTACATGGTCTGTAACCTGACTCATTATGTCTAGGGGTCTTAGTCCTAGTTACATGGTCTGTAACCTGACTCATTATGTCTAGAGGTCTTAGTCCTAGTTACATGGTCTGTAACCTGACTCATTATGTCTAGGGGGTCTTAGTACTAGTTACATGGTCTGTAACCTGACTCATTATGTCTAGGGGGTCTTAGTCCTAGTTACATGGTCTGTAACCTGACTCATTATGTCTAGGGGTCTTAGTCCTAGTTACATGGTCTGTAACCTGACTCATTATGTCTAGGGGCCTTAGTCCTAGTTACATGGTCTGTAACCTGACTCATTATGTCTAGGGGTCTTAGTCCTAGTTACATGGTCTGTAACCTGACTCATTATGTCTAGGGGTCTTAGTCCTAGTTACATGGTCTGTAACCTGACTCATTATGTCTAGGGGTCTTAGTCCTAGTTACATGGTCTGTAACCTGAATGAATGTGTGCATTTGTGTGAAATCAGCTTATGCGACCAGGTGTTGAATGTACATGTGCCCAGGGAGAGGGCAACCTTACCTTGGTCCAGGGCCAGCTCTGTCTCTCTTGACCTCGTGGTCGGCCAGTCCAAGTGGATTATTTGTTCAGATGGTGACGAAACATTAAATATGTACACAAAGGCGTGCCGAATCTAAAGCTTCAAAACCCAAGGAAAGGCCCCAGGGCCACCAAACCCAACCAGCAGCCCCAGGGCCACCAAACCCAACCAGGCCCCAGGGCCACCAAACCCAACCAGCAGCCTCACGGCTTGCCAGCTGGGACACTGACTGGCCCTTATTGGCAGCACCGGATGTGCTTATCATGCCCTGGCTCAGCAACTAGACCCAGTTGCTGCCACCTGGGGGATGGCGTTTGGAAGTGTATCTTGAATAGTGTGTTTGTCTGTGTCCTAACACTAACCCCACCCCATATTATAACACTAGTACTGTGGTTGTAAAACGGCAATGCCATCCCAGCTCCACGGGCGTGCCCTGTGTATGTGTGTTGTGTAAATAGCTGTTCTGTGTTGTAGCCTCTATCTGTTGGGATGTGTGGAGGCTGGTTCAGCTGCTGTTTTGCTGTCTGATGAATCACCGACTGTCTTCATTTAGCCAATCATTCTTCTCCCCACAGACTGTGTCCTCAATGAAGAGAACTTCTCCATGAAATGCACCAAGCACAAGGTATGGAGGGTTGATTTTAATTGAAGTGACTGGTAGGTTTGATCCTTACTAAGCTGATCTCATTCACTCACTCCGTTGCTGTCAGTGTTTTTTCTGTCTCACTGTCTCATTGATTGTCTTTGTGAAAGAGTTTGCTGTCACGGAGCCAACAATTTTAGCAATCCTCCGTTTTATGATTTTATTGTGCATCGCTGAGATGAGGTATGGCTTGCTTCAGTTCAGCGTTGCTTCATGCTCACGCTGACTACACAGCTCTACTGCATGCTCTGTACGGTCCCACAAAAATCAGAGTGAACGTTGGGATTGGATTTCTCCAGCACTCACCCACTGTGATGATTGTAGTGCACAGGGATCTCCTTTCACTGTTCCGGTTTGGTTTCACTGTGTGTTACTGGGATTTACTGCGTGTCTGTTCCTCCCCAGAACAAGTCATTCCAGGGCCCTTCTAGGAGCAGAAGAGATGACTGGTGACGTAACCAGAAGACAGACTTGACATGGTTAGTTGCTGTTTTTTTTACATTTATACACAACAACAACAACACCTCTCTTCTGGTCGTCGTCCACTTTTATTTCAGCATTACTGATCTGCACGTGCGTCACACATCTGTATATGTTTTGACATATTCTAACATTCTTTGATCACAATGATGGTAAAAGGACATTTATGTTTATATCCAAAGTGCTAAATGTTAGAATCTCTTTGTTTGGAAACATTACATTTTAGTCATTTAGCAGATGCTCTTATCCAGAGCGACTTACAGTTAGTGAGTGCATACATTTTTCATACTGAATGAGTGTTTTTTTTTTTTTTTTTTTTCTGTTCCAGACGTCATTCATCTGTGGCGTTACACGGGGTTTCCCCTGTGAGCCTGGTAACCGTGGCGACACTAACTGTCCTCGGATTGATTGACAGCTGGGCTGGGGCTGAAGGCAAAACACCCACAAACCTTAACTGGCTCTCTACGCCTCGGCTACCTGTCCTCTTATCTCCACCACATAAAAGCACTGCTAAGACTAAGCAGGAGACCAAGGCTGTCCTAATGTTCTGCTACCTTTCAGTCCTTCTCGTGGTTCTGGACTAACTGGCAACGGTGGCTACTAAATGGGCCAATGACTGAACAGAACCGAGGAGGTTGGGAGCGGGGCCCAAAGCCAATGTCCGTCACCATTCGATTGAAGAGAAATGTTTTCATGTTGCTTATGGCTAAACGCGTGCTATCGCTTTGTAATTATTTATTAGGAAAAAGGATGCTCTCCCTTTTTTTAAAAATTGAATTGTTGATCAAACAATTGGAGATATTTTATTTTGTAAAGCTTTCAAAGTATGTGATTTATATTTTTGCTTATTTATTTTTTGGGGTATCTTGTGGCTTTAGTTTTTATTTAGCAATTCACCTGGAGGTGTGTTTCGTATGCGTCTTAAGTTATGAGTAAGAACCCTGATGATGAAGACTCCACTTGGTAGAGGAACTGGTGGTCGTATAGCAGCAGTGCAGAATGGTCTAGTATTCAGATCGACCACAAGTTTATCGACAGAACCATATCTGATTACAATACAGGTACCTGATATCTATTCATGAAGACCATACTTTGCTAAATTGACAGGTTTATTCTCATGTGATGAAAATAATGCCAGATTCATCTGATTTTAGTTCTGGGGGTGAGAAGAGGCGTGCTTTTCAACTGATTTTACTTGCACTTTGTTTTGTCATTTGACAGTGATATAAATAATTATTGAGGGAACTGTTTTATGTGTATCGTATATTCATTTTGTGAATGTACTTCCTCTAAAGAGGGATCATCAACCTACACACAATACCCATAATGACAAAGCAAAAACAGGTTTTTATACATTTTTGCAATTGTATTAAAAAGAAACTGAAATATCAAATTTACATTTCCCCACAGCATGATGCTGCTACCACCATGCTTCACTGTAGGGATGGTGCCAGGTTTCCTCCAGACGTGATGCTTGGCATTCAGGCCAAAGAGTTCAATCTTGGTTTCATCAGACCAGAGAATCTTGTTTCTCATGGTCTGAGAGTCCTTTAGGTGCCTTTTGGCAAACTCCAAGTGGGCTGTCATGTGCCTTTTACTGAAGAGTGGCTACCGTCTGGCCACTCTACCATAAAGGCCTGATTGGTGGAGTGCTGCAGAGATGGTTGTCCTTCTGCAAGGTTCTCCCATCTCCACAGAGGAACTCTGGAGCTCTGTCAGAGTGACCATCAGGTTCTTGGTCACCTCCCTGACCAAGGCCCTTCTCCCCTGATTTCTCAGTTTGGCTGGGCGGCCAGCTCTAGGAAGAGTCTTGGTGGTTCCAAACTTCTTCCATTTAAGAATGATGGAGGCCACTGTGTTCTTGGGGACCTTCAATGCTGCAGACATTTTTTGGTACCCTTCCCCAGATCTGTGCCTCGACACAATCCTTTCTCGGAGCTCTACAAACAACATGGCTTGGTTTTTGCTCTGACATGCACTGTCAACTGTGGGACCTTATATAGACCGGTGTGTGCCTTTCCAAATCATGTCCAATCAATTTAATTTACCACAGGTGGACTCCAATCAAGTTGTAGAAACATCTCAAGCATGATCGATGGAAACCAGGACGTTGTCTTCTGTTACATCAATACAACTAACCAGGACGTTGTGGTCTGTTACATCAATACAACTAACCAGGACGTTGTGGTCTGTTACATCAATACAACTAACCAGGACGTTGTGGTCTGTTACATCAATACAACTAACCAGGACGTTGTGGTCTGTTACATCAACACAACTAACCAGGACGTTGTGGTCTGTTACATCAACACAACTAACCAGGACGTTATGGTCTGTTACATCAACACAACTAACCAGGACGTTATGGTCTGTTACATCAATACAACTAACCAGGACGTTATGGTCTGTTACATCAACACAACTAACCAGGACGTTATGGTCTGTTACATCAACACAACTAACCAGGACGTTGTGGTCTGTTACATCAACACAACTAACCAGGACGTTGTGGTCTGTTACATCAGTACAACTAACCAGGACGTTGTGGTCTGTTACATCAGTACAACTAACCAGGACGTTGTGGTCTGTTACATCAATACAACTAACCAGGACGTTGTGGTCTTTTACATCAATACAACTAACCAGGACGTTGTGGTCTGTTACATCAACACAACTAACCAGGACGTTGTGGTCTGTTACATCAACACAACTAACCAGGACGTTGTGGTCTGTTACATCAACACAACTAACCAGGACGTTGTGGTCTGTTACATCAACACAACTAACCAGGACGTTATGGTCTGTTACATCAATACAACTAACCAGGACGTTGTGGTCTTTTACATCAATACAACTAACCAGGACGTTGTGGTCTGTTACATCAACACAACTAACCAGGACGTTGTGGTCTGTTACATCAACACAACTAACCAGGACGTTGTGGTCTGTTACATCAACACAACTAACCAGGACGTTGTGGTCTGTTACATCAACACAACTAACCAGGACGTTATGGTCTGTTACATCAATACAACTAACCAGGACGTTATGGTCTGTTACATCAATACAACTAACCAGGACAGCTACCACGCTTCTCCTGCTGCAGACGTAGATCTAAGCAGCAGGTTTGATAGACTGTACATTTAGGAGATGTCACTGTGGCTGGTTGCTGTAGGTTGGTGCTGTCGGTTGGTGCTGTCTGGTGGTTGTCGTCTCTGTGTGTCCATAGTGGCAGTAGGGGCATTGTGGTGCTGTCTGAGTTCAGTGAAGTCAGTCAGTCTGTACAGGGAGCCAGAACAGCAGTGATGGTGAATTTTTACAGCAGACCGCTCCCTGAGAAAGGATTCCTCACACAGCAGGAGATTCACGCGTGTGTGTCTGTTCCAATATCCACACTAGTATAGCGCCTAGAATAAAGCAATGTATTGTGCATTCGTTCTAAGTTGTATGGCTATTTGTATGTGTATTTATTAAGGATCCTTGGCAGCAGCTACTCTTCCTGGGGTCTTGCAACATTTAAGGCAGTTATAACATTAGACAGAGTGTTATTTATAACACTTTACCCAATACATGTAGTGTGTTCCCTCAGGCCACTACTCCACTATCACATATTTACAATACAACATCCATGTGTAGAGTGAGTGTCTATATGTATGTGTGCCTGTGTGTGTCTCTTCACAGTCCCCACTGTTCCACAAGGTGTATTTTTACCTGTTTTTAAAAATCTTGCATCAGTTACCTGATGTGGAATAGAGTTCCATGTAGTCATGGCTCTATGTAGTACTGTACGCCTCCCATAGTCCGTTCTGGATTTGGGGACTGTGAAGAGACCTCTGGTGGCATGTCTTGTGGCGTATGCATGGGTGTCCGAACTGTGTGCCAGTAGTTCAAACAGACAGCTTGGTGCATTCAACATGTCAATACCTCTCATAAACACAAGCGGTGATGAAGTCAGTCTCTCTTCCACTCTGAGCCAGGAGAGACTGACATGCATGTCATCAATGTTAGCTCTCTGTGTACTTTTAAGGGCCAGCCGTGCTGCCCTGTTCTGAGCCAACTGCAATTTTCCCAAGTCCCTCTTTGTGGCACCTGACCACACTACTGAACAGTAGTCCAGGTGTGACAAAACTAGGGCCTGTAAGATCTGCCTTGTTGATAGTGTTGTTAAGAAGGCAGAGCAGCCCTTAATTATGGACATACTTCTCCCCATCTTAGCTACTGTTGTATCAATATGCTTTGACCATGACAGTCTACAATCCAGGGTTACTCCAAGCAGTTTAGTCACCTCAATTTCCACATTATTCATTACGATATTTAGTTGAGGTTTAATGAATGATTTGACCCAAATACAATGCTTTTAGTTTTGGAAATATTCAGGACTAACTTATTCCTTGCCACCCATTCCAAAACTAACTGCAACTCTTTGTTAAGTGTTGCAGTCATTTCAGTCGCTGTAGTAGCTGACATGTATAGTGTTGAGTCATCCGCATTCATAGACACACTGGCTTTACTCAAAGCCAGTGGCATATCATTAGTAAAGATTGAAAAAAGCAAGGGGCCTAGAAAGCTGCCCTGGGGAATTCCTGATTCTACCTGGATTATGTTTGAGAGACTTCCATTAAAGAACACCCTCTGTGTTCTGTTAGACAAGTAACTCTTTATCCACATTATAGCAGGGGGTGTAAAGCCATAACACATACGTTTTTCCAGCAGGAGACTATGGTCGATAATGTCAAAAGCCGCACTGAAGTCTAACAAAAACAGCCCCCACAATATTTTTATCATACATTTCTCTCAGCCAATCATCAGTCATTTGTGTAAGTGCTGTGCTTGTTGAATGTCCTTCTCTATAAGCATGCTGAAAGTTTGTCCATTTGTTTACAGGAAAATATCATTGTATCTGGTCAAACACCATTTTTTTCCAATAGTTTACTAAGGGTTGGTAACAGGCTAGTTGGTCAGCTGTTTGAGCCAGTAAAGGGGGCTTTACTATTCTTAGGTAGCGGAATGACTTTTGCTTCCCTCCAAGCCTGGGGGCACACACATTCTAGTAGGCTTAAATTGAAAATATGGCAAATAGGAGTGGCAATATCGTCCGCTATTATCCTCAGTAATTTTCCATCCAAGTTGTCAGACCCCGGTGGCTTGTCATTGTTAATAGACAACAATAATTTGTTCACCTCTTCCACACTCACTTTATGGAATTCAAAATTACAATGCTTGTCTTTCATAATTTGGTCAGATATACTTGGATGTGTAGTGTCAGCAATTGTTGCTGGCATGTCATGCTTCAGTTTGCTAATCTTGCCAATGAAAAAAATATTAAAGTAGTTGGCAATATCAGTTGGTTTTGTGATGAATGAGCCATCTGATTCAATGAATGATGGAGCTGAGTTTGCCTTTTTTCCCAAAATTTCATTTAAGGTGCTCCAAAGCTTTTTACTATCATTCTTTATGTCTTATCTTTGTTTCATAGTGTTCCTTCTTTTTATTCAGTTTAGACACATGATTTCTCAATTTGCAATACGTTTGCCAATCGGTTGTGCAGCCAGACTTATTTGCCATTATTTTTGCCTCATCCCTCGCAACCATACCATTTTTCAATTCCTCATCAATCCATAGGGATGTAACAGTTTTTACAGTCATTTTCTTAATGGGTGCATGCTTATTAGTAACTGGAATAAGCAATTTCATAAATGTGTCAAGTGCAGTGTCGGTTTGCTCCTCATTACACACCACGGACCAACATATTCTTTACATCAACAACATAGGAATCACTACAAAACTTATTGTATGACCTCTTATACACAATATTAGGCCCAGCCTTTGGAACTTTGGTTTTCCTAGACATGGCTACTATATTGTGATCACTACATCCAATGGATTTGGATACTGCTTTCAAACAAATCTCTGCAGCATTAGTAAAGATATTATCAATACATGTTGATGATTTAATTCCTGTACTGTTTGTAACCACCCTGGTAGGTTGACTGATAACCTGAACCAGGTTGCAGGCACTGGTTACAGTTTGAAGCTTTCTCTTGAGTGGGCAGCCTGATGAAAGCCAGTCAATATTTAAATCCCCCAGAAAGTATACCTCTATTGATATCACATACATGATCAAGCATTTCACACATGTTATCCAGATACTGACTGTTAGCACTTGGGGGTCTTAAGCAGCTTCCCACCAGAATGGGCTTTAG